GGTCATGCTATTGAAGAGTTCCTATAAAATAAAATTATGTGTTGGATATTACACAAAATAAGACCTCTTTGGAATCAGCTTTTTATAAGACATTAATAAATCTGCCTCTCCAACTGTAAACATTTTCCTTTTTTTTATGTATTTAGTACAGGGTCTACAGGGCCTTAGTACGTACATCAAACTGAATGATTCTCCTGTTTTCAGCCTCCCAAGCACTGGGTTTACAGGCACACACTACCACACCCAGTCTCAATCTCCATCTCAGAGCACCCTGGGGGTGGTGCTGGCATGGCCCGCCAGGGATTGAACCCCCGCCACTACACTCTGCCTAAGCAGGTGCTTTAGTCTGTTAAGCTATCGGGCTGGCCCTTCCAGCTGTAAATATTTTCTTGAAGTAAATATGGACCTAAGAAGTTAAACAAAATACTTTTTTCATTAACTAGCTTATTTCTACTCCTTTTACTAGGAATCTATTTTTTATGGACATTTATGGGTGGATTATTTTTCTTTAACATATGTGTATCCTTGGTATCTATAAAAGATCAAAAGTGTAAATAGGAGGGCTGGTGAGATAGCTCAGTGGACTAAGAGCCTGCTTAGGCAAATGCAGGGACTAGGGTCCCATCCCTGGCACTACATGCCACGCAAATGAGATTGGGCATGGTGACACATACCTGTAATCCCAGAGCTGGGAAGGCTGAAAACAGGAGAATCACTACAAGTCTGAGCTTCATAGTGAGACCCTGTACCAAATACATTGAAAAAGTAAAAAGGAGTTGTCAGAGTGAGAGCAGCCTGTGCCCACTACCCCCCACTGAATAGAATTTTCATAGGTTTGGTGAGTTGCAAAACTATTTGTTCCATTGATAGAATCTGATGAAATATTGATATTGAGCACAATCATAGCTTGTTTCTTAGTTATCAGTCAGGCATGAGACTTTATATTAAATATTTCTTTAAAAAGGATAGGTTCCATGTCCATGAAGCCCTGGACAAGGCTCTCTCATGATCCCTGAGATTTTATACCTGATTGTTTTGTGATGATCATTCCTTAGAGAAACCTGTAAGTAACAACTGCCAATTTTCTTAATTGATAAAAATTGCTTAAAAGATTTTGTAGTTATTTGGAAAGGAAAAAGACCCTATAAAGAAAAAAATTCATACAACTTTTAAGTGATGCCATGTTATTTTATAAAAGAATTGTGGGAAAATGAAATATTCTGCTACAGTTTAGGTGTGCCACAGAAAACTAGGGCAACACTTACTTTTAGAAATATCAAGTGTTATTCATTGCTTTATAACTAATTACATAATTATCCACCAGAATACAAAGATCCCAGGGTACCTTAGTGGAAACAGTACACTTCCAAATAAAATAATAATAATTATTGCCTACTATATTCGAAGTGTTTCATTAACTATCATTTTTTTTAACTTTCCACACCTCTATGTATAAACAAACATCATTAAGAATATTAAATTTTTCTGTAGTTCAAAAATAAGAAAACTAAGGCAGATAAAATGATTTAAATGATAAATTAAGCGTGACACTTCTGAGTATTTTTTAAGTTTTATTTTATTTTGAAAAATAAAAACAAAATCAAGAACAAAAATCAGAAACAAAGACAGAAACAGGATAGCATGCAACAGTACATATGTTACAGATTTTCAAAACAGGAATAGCTGTTTAACATTGGTTGATATATTATCTATTTTTAATCATCAAATCTGTTGCTCAGATTAATGGATATAGTTATGTAAGATTGGACATATGATTGAATATTACTGCTAGCTTTTAAGAAATCTTAAAATTGTGTTCTTGTCTCTTTTTTCTATTTTTAACCTTTTTTTAAAAAATATTTTAGGGCTGGAGAGATGGCTCAGTGGTCTAAAGCACCTACTTGGAACAAGCTTGGCAAAGCACAGGGACCACAGTTCAATCCCCCAGCACCACATGCCAGCCAGCCCGCCCCCTGGTGGGCTGAGCTGGCCACACACACACACACAAATAAATTAAAAAAAAAAAAAATTAAAAAAAAAATAAATAAATAAAAATCCAATCGTTAAAAAAAATATATTTTAAAGAGTATAGTAGTAATTGATATGACATTAGAAATGGTACGCATTTAGAAGACCAAGATAACAGGTATTCATTCAAGCATGTTTTTTATATTACACATTGCTGTCCATGATGTGGTTTTCAGGGTTTTTTTGTTTTTGTTTTTGTTTTGTATTTAGTGCAGGGTCTACAGAGTCTCACTATACAAATCGGGCTCATAGTGATCCTCCTGTTTTCAGCCTCCCAAGTGCTGGGATTACAGGTGCACGCCACCATGCCCAGTCTCAACCACCATCTCAGGGCGCCCTGAGGGTGGGGCCAGCATGGCATGCCAAGGATAGAACCCCAGTCCCTACAATTGCTTAAGCAGGCGTTTTAGTCTGCTGAGCTATCTGGTCAGCCCTTGAGTATTTCAAAGAGACAGATATTCAACCGAGATAATAGATATTAGTAGAATTCAATATAAATTACTGGTTAGTAATTAATTACAAATATAACCCTTTCTGTCACATATGTGATCAAATCTGTTTAAATTTTATAAGCTGTGCATGGCAGCCTTGAGACTATTGGAAATGCCTAAGATGTGACAGAAATTACTTCAGAGTCACCACCATTCTAGGTACCTTGTAGCTATATGACGTTGTATGTCATTAAAACCACTGGATTGGGAGATTGAAGCAATGTGATTCACTGAATGTCACAGAGTTCAATTAGGACATAATCTAAGGTTTACAAACCACATCGTGCTAACATAACAAGGCTTTTTTTCCCCACAATAGTAGCATTTTGTTAAGGTGACCATGAAAAATGTTTCTAAAATCTATGGCTTTCGGGACACTTGATGTTTCTTTACAGGACAATAATCACTAAAGTGAAAACTATCACAGAAAGAGAACAAAGGCAAGCTAGTGCCAATCTTTAAAATACTGTGGCAAAAATTCCAGTTGAAATATGACCACAAAGCCTGCAAAGTAAAGGAAGGTTTTCTGCTATAGTATTCCAGAACTGCAGACTTATTAGATGGGAAAAAAACATGATATGATTAATGTTCATTTGGAGGAGAATCTGAGCTAGAAGGAAGCCAGCCAACTATGCTTCACTTGTGGAGATAAGTAAGACAAATAGTGACCTTGCAGTGATCCAAGGCAGCCCTACTACATGGCTGGCCACTTGAGAAATAGTGAGCACATTCTAGGTTGGTTCTACTTGTGCCCTGGGGTGTTTGGCAGTGGAGAAAGAAAAGTGCTTTGAGGTTTCATCTTTAAAGTGCTGCAGATGAAGAGACAGCTACAGTGCAGACATTTAGGTTAGCTTTGTATTTTTTGTTCTGTTGAATTTATTTTATATGGCAAGACTCTCTTTGTCTGACAGTTCCCATTTCCTAAGATAATTGATGAACCACAGATAATCACTATCTGAGCTCATTTAGTAGTTTAATGGCAAGGTATAAAATATGTGCTCTGGATTATAGCACACTTTCAAAATTGGGATTATCTACCACTGGATAATACATAATTGGGGAAAAAATTCCCCATTATACCCATTCTCCTCTCCTTAAAGGCTAGACTTTGTGAGACCATAAAAACCACTTGCTCATTATTCACCTATACTTGAAATATTGAAACATGAACTTCTCTTTGAATTAAACTTCTGCTCAACTGGCAGGAACCTCCATTTGACATTATAATGCTGAAGGGCTTACTGATTCTTTCACCTGAGACTCAAAGAGATAAAATAATACACCCTAAAAAGTTCAAACTTCATACTAGACATGCTGACAGACTATTACATTTAATTCTAAAATTAACATCAGTGGAATTGTGGTTTAAAATATTTGTAAGTTTATAAACAAATAAAAATAAATACTTATGATAAATCTACTTATGATCAAATTTATCAGGTGACTCATTTAGATCTTAAACTAGTAAAAATGTAGTTAAAATATAAATGCCTGGCTGTTTTATATCTTTGCATTTTTAAGGATTGAGAGAAGTCAGAGAGGCATATACAGTGTGGTAGAAAGGGGCCCTTTGTAACTTTATTTAATGTTTCATTATTATATTTGTTGGAAAACATCTTTAAGAGTTGGGGATATCGTTCAGTGGAGCAGTGCCTGTCTGGGGACAACAAGGTCCTGAGATTGATTCCCAGTACCCCATCACCACCACCACACACAAAAAGATCAAATCTTTAAAAGTATTATAAAATACATATATGTATTTTAAAATATGTATTATATACTTATATAATACATAAAATATTATATATATATATATATAATTTCTAAGAAAAATTCAGGCCAAATGTATTCAACCATTTAAATGTGCTTGTCCACAGAGTTAAGAAAACAAATATTGTTCCTTTGCTCCTCCAGTAACCTTCATATTTCTTTTACAAAGAAAGTGCTATTCTCTCCTCCTGCCTTTCCTAACTGCTATAATTTAGGTGCCCTCCTTTTCCATCCTCACAGTGAAAGGATTCTTGCTTTATTCTGTTTCCTCCCCACTATTTTTCCTCTCTGAATACATTTCACAGACGACCATCTTCCAAAATAAAAACATCAATTAATTTTTCTAACTTGCAAAGAATCGCATTTCGCCCGTGCCTGCGCTCTGCACTGAGGCTCTGTCCGTGGCAGAGGCTGTGCGGGGCTGATAAGCCCGGTGTGCAGAGGCGGCTCATGCGGAGCCTCCTGCTTCCCAAGCCAGGCGCTAGGTGCCTTGAGTTGACCCCCGCATCTCACAGTGCTGGGAGAAACCCAGCCACCCCTGCCCCAAGACAGTCACTGAGGGAATGACAGGAAGCAGCTTTCCTTCGGTGCCCAGCTCCAAGGTGTTCTTTGTGGTTCACTTTTGGGTTTGAATGCACAGCGGCTTGACCCGTAAAGTTGTCTCTCTATTAACTGCTATGGCTTCTCACAACCCCCTCTCTCATTTTGCAGAGTCGGATGATCTCCAAGTGAACCCTCCTTTCAGCCATCTAAGCACTCTTGCTCCCCAGAATGCTTGTAACTCAATGGTAGATGCAGGTGGAGTTGACAGAGCCACTCAGTGTCCCCAGGAGCTTCCACAGATGATGGCTGCAGGTAAATGAGGCGTTTTAAGTTCTTACTGGAGAAGCACAGCTATAAAAATAGTCATGGAACCAGGGGTAAGAGCCCTGAAAAAGAAAAGCCCTCAGGCCATGAAACTTGTGAAAATCAATGAGCATTAAGACAAATTAAGAAATTCTGCTGTTTTTTTTAGCTGTGTTATTGTTTCTAAATATTGATTGATTGATTGATTGATTGTCAGTGCTTATAGGAAGTACTTTAGAAAGTCACTCTAGGTAGACACTTGCACATCCTTAATGTAATTGAGGATTATGTTAAAGAAGGATTATGTTACAAAGAAACACTTAAAAATTTTAATCAGGACCAGTACTACCACTTAACAACTGTTTTCTTATTGGATAGTTAGAAGGCGTGCCTGGTCTAGAATTATGCTTAGAAACAGACACATTTATTTGTCCTTAGTGTACTAAGCCACTTACTTGCTTCTCTGGGAGAGTATTTATGCTTTGCCTTTTGGTCCTTGTTTTTTCACCAGTATTTTTTAAGGAAAAGAAAGCAAGCTTCACTTTTTTCTAGGGGTTCCTCCTTAACAGCATGTTTTGTTCAATGCAAACTACATCTCATCAAGTTTCCTCCCAGGAAATACTCGGAAACACTTTATGTTATGTCTGAAGAAAAATGTTGTAGATTATAGTGCTTTTTGTGTGTAAGGTTTGGAAATGTGCTAAATGAAGCCTTACATTGCTAGAAGCATGATTTTTTTTAAAGGGAAGCTCTTGCCTGTGGACTTTAAATGGAGTTTGTTTTCCTCACAGCAGCCGACGGTTTGGGGAGTATAGCATTAGATACAACCCAGCTCAACATGTCCGTGACAGATCCCACAGCCTGGGCCACAGCCATGAACAACTTGGGCATGGTTCCCGTGGGGTTGCCTGGACAGCAGCTTGTGTCTGGTAAGCTTTTTCCTGGTTTCAAAGATGCTTGCAGCAGTGCCAGCGGGTGTGGGTGACAGGTGTTGGTAATCTCTCTGCACTGCGGGTGTTAAACATGCTCTTGGACTTGTGACTGGGGCATGTTTGGCAGGTTGTGCCTGGGATTCTTTCCTCATCACCTTGCTCTTCTGCCTGATCACGATTCTCAGAAGCAGCTGCTCTTGAAGCTGTTGCTGTACACAGTCTCTCTCCTTAGTGCAGCATTGCCTAGCAAATAGAATGGCTCGTGGTTGCATTCAAGTTGGCCAAACTTGCTCATTTAATTTATTCCATTTGATTGCTGTTTTCCCTTTAAGACAGGCAAGATGCATACTTGCACAGCTTCTCTTATTAATGGTCCTATTTTACAGAAAGGGAAACAGAAGATCAGGGCCTCACTGACTTTTCCAGAATGGAAGTGGCAGGTCTAGGAACTTAGCTCTATGTTTCTTAAATTCTACATTTCTGTCTACCACACTTTGGAATAGTAATATACCACCCTCAATAGATAATGTGCTTAGCAATATCACCAAGTCAATAGTCACCTAAACATTTTTACCACTTGTATTATTAAAAATTTTGTATGTGCTTTGTAAAAAGTGCTTTTAGAATAAATATACACAGATATGTGTCCTTGAGGGGTGTGCCTCCCTAAATTAAGAATTAAAAGAAAACAGCAACAGAATACAAAAATAAAAATAATGTATTGAATCAGGGTTAAGTAATGGTACAGACTACTAACGTGGTCAGATCAGTCACTATAGCTCTAAAGGAAAATGTTTTGTTAAACATGAGGTTTGATCTCTTTCTGGAGAGAGAAGCAGGGCTGATGTCCATCCTCACTCAGCGATCACGAGGCACTGCTGTGGTGCAAGGGTTCTGCCGGGAGGCAAAGCCTGGGCCCTGCTCTCTTGGGGGTGCGGTGGAGAGCTGGCAGCCTCAGCTGTAAGAGCACAAGCACAGTTCATGTTAGCCAGCAGATTAGGTGAGGCTGGGCCTGTGCCTTTGGGCTGTTGCAAGCTTTGCCATGAATCTGTATTTTGTGCTGAGTTGACCAAGCATTTGTTTCTTCTCTCTTCTCCCTTCCCCTTTCCTCTTTTTCCTCCCCTTCCCTTTCCTGTATCTTTCTGTCAATAATGGCCACTGGTGAAAATGCTAAATTATCTGTATGAAATTATATGTTTATATACATGGAAATACTTATTATAACTATATGTGTATATTAATATATATGGAATGTAAGGATAGGAAAAAGGAAGACAAAAAAGAAAAGCTAATAGTTAAATTACGAAGAATATTTAATAAAATTCTTCAAAATATTATGATACCGATATGGTTTTAGATTAGTGTCCTGGGAGCATGTACACACACATATGTCATTTTCTGTGAGTTACACATGTGCTTATCCAGGCCCTCTTTCTCAAAATGTAATGTTTATTTTTGTTTGCTTTTATGGTGCTAAGGATTGAACCCAGAACCTTGTAAATGCTAGTTAAGCACTCTCCCACTAAGCTACATTCCTAGTCCCTCAAAAACTGACCTAGACAATTGCTTCTTTCTGATAATTCAACAGTAAATATTTTTATTTTTCCACCCAGATTTTCCCAGCTGCCTAATCAAAACACTTTTACACCAAAAATGACTTTAGTCTTCTTTCATCTACTACTTCTCTCAGGAAATTTTATGCAACTTCTAGAGTAAGCCAAAACCTCAATAATTCGTTATTTTTTCTTATGATTTTGAGTCTTCTGACATTTTAACCATGACCAATGTATGATTTTCCCAGCAACTTACCATGAAAAGAATTACAGCTCTGCTCATTATAGAAGATTTACCGTGTCTGCCCTGAATTACATTCTCTATCTCCTGTGTTAGACAAACCGCTTAAACTGATTCTGGGCTCCTCAGAGTCTGGGTGCCCGCCACCCTCCTTCCACAGCCACAGCGCCACTGCAGCGAGCTCTGTTCTCAAGGCCAGCTGTGTTTGTTGGCCTGACCTCAGGTCCACTTCTGTCCTGCTGGGTTAGTGTTCATGTGTTTTCTTCCAGTCTTTTTTTCTATGCATATGTTTCAGTCTTTCTGAATATAAACTTTTCTGTTAAGTAGTTTTGTTCACATTAAAACTATTTTGCACTTTCTACTACATATTTAAATTTTTAAATAATCTGTCAAATAAATCATTCCCGGATAACTTAAGTATTCTAAATGTTTCCATTTATATTTATTTTTCTATAACACGTTGATCAGATATATTTTATGGAACTGCTGTGAGACTTCAATGTGATAATTTACAAAACACCTTCTACTTATATATGTAGTAAACACTGAGTAAATATTAGTCTCTTCTTCCTTTTTCTTCTTTTTTTAAAATCATGAGGGCTGGTCAAATAGCTCAGCACCTTCAAGCAGGTGCAGGGGCAGGTCGGGAGTTCAATCCCCAGGCCTGCGGAGCCAGCCCCACCCCAGGGTGCACTGAGATGGCAATTGAGACTGGGCGAGGTGGCGCGCACCTGTAATCCCAGCACTTGGGAGGCTTATAAACAGAAGAATCACTATGAGTCTGATCTAGTAATGAGACCCTGTACACCCTCAAGACCCTTCCCTAAAATACAAAAAATAAATAAATAAAATAAAACAAATCATGTTACATTTTCAGCAGTTAGAATTATTTCCCTTGGAGATTTCTATATATAGAACTTGTAGGTCAAAATGTAAGTGGTTTTTAGTATATATCAAGCAATTATTTTACCAGTAGACATAAGTATTTAATATTTACTAATTTTCTTTTTTTCTTATGGATTTGGTACAGGGTCTCACTACACAGCCAGATCTTAGTGACCCTCCTGTTTTTAGCCTCCTGAGTGCTGGGGTTACAGGCATGGGCCACCACGCCTGGATTCAGTGGCCTGCTCAGAGTACCTGTGGGTGGGGCTGGCACAACATGTGGTGCCGAGGAAGGAACCCTAGTCCCTGCACTTGCCTAAGCAAGCACTTAGTCTGCTGAGCTATTTTGCCAGCCTTTGTATTTACTACTTTTCTATGCAAATCGATGTCCTATTTTTTTATCTTGAATTCTTTCAAGGGTCTAGGGATATGGCTCAGTGGCGTAAGTGTCAGCCTGGCAAATGCAGGGTCCTAAGTTCAATCCCTAGTACTGCCAAAAAAAAAAAAAAAGACTTGAATTCTTTCAAGATCCACATCATGAAAAAATTGAAAGGTCCAAAGGCCATATACAAAAGGCTCTGTTCTCAGTCTGTGACATACTACAAGGTGGGGGAGCCATTAAAGAAGGGGCCCCATGGAAAGAAGTTAGGTTACCAGGGTCGTGTTCTTGTGTGGATACTTTGGCCCTTCCTTCCTCTGTGCTTCCCAGCTCCTGTGCTCTGCTGCACGCTCACCATGATGTTCTGCCTCATCAGAGGCACAGGGTAAAACCAGGGACCAAAGTAAAGCTTTCCTCCTTTAAGTTGATTTTCTCAGATATTTTATCACAGCAACATAAAGCTCACTATAACATCTTGCTTACTCCTTTCTCCCCTTCATTTTCTACTTGTATTTCTTCTTGGTAAACAGATTATTTTATAGTGTATAGTTGGCAGTTTTTTAAACTCGATTTATATGTGGTTGTTAATCATTTTAATCCTTTAACTTGTTTTTTTGTTTTTTTTAAATCCTGTGATGTCTTATTTCCTAAAAAGCACCTATCCAGTCTGGGTATTTTTTTCCTTCTTAAGTGTTCACTTTTTAAAATGACTTTTGTTTTAATTTTCCTCATGAGTTCTTTATTCCAATTTTGCATACAGTGTGACGACGGGGTGCAGTGGTGAGCAGAGCTGCCTTCCAATTATAAATACAAAGTAGATGCCTGCTCTAAAGGTCATGGCTGAGTTTCCATGCTTCTACTGACTTTTCTATGACCAGAAATTAAATTATGTATATTTTTGCCTATTTCTAAAGTTCCTGTTCTATACTGCTGACCTATTTTTGTGCCAGCACTGCATAGTTTCAGTTCTTACAGCTCTACAGATTTATAGGGAGCACCTTCAGCTCTGGTTCCCTTACCTGATATGTGCTACTATTTGTCTCTTTTTGCATAGCCATCAGCTATGGAATGAGGCTCTTTGCTCAGTGTTCTTACTGGCCATCTCTGAAATTCTTCAGTGTAGCTGTTGAGTGTTAGAGCCAGTCTTTAATGTTTCAAATAGGACTTAAAGATTATTTACTGTAACATTCCTTCCAAGAAATCCTCTCTAAAATATCTCTGACAGGATTATGGAGAGGCTGGATTTTATGAGCACTTGGCTTTCTTCCAAAGTTTCTGATATTTCTAAATGACCAAGCACTCTTCCCATATTTGTTAAAATTAAAGTGACACTAAATCCCATTCCTCACTGCTTCTTCAGTTTATTGAGAGATTAAAATTACCAGCAAAGCAAGGCATACATTTTTCATATCCTCTGATTCTATCAGAGGGATTTCCCAGGAAATCACATCACTTGCTGCCATCATGCCCTACCTTTCTGATGTGCTGTGTGTATTCCCACAAATAGCTTCTTCCATTTTCATCCCCTTTTCCTGGCTTGATTCCACTCCCACTTTGAGGAATTTTAATTTCTATTCTTACTGTGAAACATGACTTGAGATCATTACATTGTACTTGCCTCCTCTGTCCAACATATATCAGCATAATGTTTGTTATATAACTCAGCCCTTCTCCCATACTCCAAAGTTTCTCAATGAGATATTTTACTTCTACCTATTACTTTTTTTTTTTTTTTTTTGGAACCAGGGATTGAATTCAGGCCCTTGAGCTTGCCAGGGAGGCACTTATTCCACTGAGCCATCTCCGCGGTCCCAACTTCTACCTGTTACTGTCTCATGTGTATATTAGCCCTCTAATTTGTTTTAGTTTTGTGATTTTTGTTGCTGATTTGTTTTGTTATCAATATTTTGTATGTTGCCATAGGTCCAGATTTTCTAAA